ATGTTGTACCGAGTGAATTGACTGAAAGGGAACCACTGGTTTGGGTCTGGGTTTGGGGTCTTCATTTTCACCTGAAGGTTGCATGGAATCCTGTCTGTGTTTCCTGTCTGCTTTCAGGAAAGCCCAGTCAGGATAACCACGCTGCTCCAGGGCCCTGTCGTGTGTGTGATTTCTCTTTCTCCCTGGCTCCTGGGTTTGTAGGGACAAACCAGGAGCCAGTGCTGCTATTGCCAGTATCACTCCACTCCCTGTTAACAATAGGTGTTAATTAGGTGTCAACGATAGCCATGTGATGTGAGTAAACATTGTACTGCAAAAAAGGAGGTTGCATTTAGTCAGCTCTTGTTTCTGCTCAGCGACCACCCTCTGTTCTGCACGATAATAAGGATGTGAGTTATGCTAACTTCCTGAACTGTGTTTGTGCACACATTTCTCAAAGCTAGGTGTTCCTCTTAGGATTTCCTCAGCTGATGTTTTTTGGTTGGCAAGCAAATGGGGTATAAAAGTTTGTAATGGCCCCACAAATCATCTTAGAGGAGAAGAAGGCTCATTAATCTTGCTGATTGCTTAGAGAAGGGGGGAGAGATAAAAGGAGGTGCAATGCCAAAGCATTTTTCCTAAGACTTTCTTAAGTCCAGATGGTTGGACTCTGTTTTTGTCTCTGTAAAATACACAGATGAAATTGGATTATAGCACTGCTTATCTGCATGTACAATGCAAAAGTTTGCAACCCCAAAAATCATCCATAAAGTTGTGTGTGTTGTATTTTTCATAAGAGCAAATTTTGACAGATTTTTTGTAAATGTATTATGGCAATAAATTTCAAAATTTTCTCATATATATAAGTGTTAGGGATAATAATAATAAACAATAAATTCTGCACTCCCACAGTAGAATATGTCACATAGCTTATAGCTAAGCAAATTTTTCCTCAATGAAGTATCAGACATTTGAAGAGAGGCTCGTGTTGTTGGATAAGGAGGAAACACATTTTGCTTTCTTGTTAACTGTGGAGGTAGAAAAAAGTCATGGTTGTTCATGTATTCAATAAAACCAGACAGCTGCTCCTTGAAGCTGTCCAACTTGCCAATTTAACTACAGGCATCTGGGAGCACACCATTTTAAGTGAAATGACATCTGCATTAACAAACACGCCCAGAAGCCTTTACAAGTGACATGCAAAAGTAGGTATCCCAAAAATAATAGTTTCTCCAACAGAGGGTACACCATAAAAGCTGAAAAATTCTGAAGTCTGTATGAAATTAGGGGTAGGATTATACATAAGGATTTGATTTTTAATGTTTTTTTATAGTGTGACTAAACCCAAAATCAACTTTTTTTTTCAGATGAACTGTCTAAATTGTGTCTTAAGGGTAATAACTTGAACATTTTATGCCATTTTGGACATTTTCTCGTAAATTTGTTTAATTCTGCAATATTTTGTCTAAAACTGTCTCAGTGCTTCTCTCTATAGGTTTAACAGTGACTGAAGTTGAATTTGCCTATTGGTTAAAATGGTACATGCTTACATCACAGCTCCAATGATCGGATATAAAAACCTCTCTCAGATACGCCACTGCAGCAAGACAAAACTTGGAATGGCCGATGTTTGCAATAATGCTGCTAACATCACTTTATTGCACATATTGCCTCAGCAGCACTAGCTTTATGCATCACTGATGCAGTGCCTTGAGCCAGTGGCTCAAGAGCTCAAGTAGGGGGGTGAAATATCTTCCACCATGGTTAAACTACCTGGGTTGCTCTGGTTATTCTCCGTGTTACAATG